ATATATATATATATAAAGAATCTTACTGATAGAAGTGTTAAGGGAACTTTTAAAGAATAAGAATATAATGTATTTAATAAAAATATAAAATTTAGTATAATACAAAATAAATATTTTTATTTAATATTTTTTATTTTTAAATTGTTAACAGATGTCTTAAGAGCACCTGTAAAAATTTACTTATTTTAATAAATTTGTTTATTAATTTTGGTGCAAATATTATATTTTCACACTATTTAATAAAAAAAATTACGTTACTGCATAATAATTATTTTTTTTAATAATAAACGATAAAAGAAATTGGAGAGTATGAGAAAACAAAGGCCAAATTCTCTACTGTTTTTCTTTTTCAATGAATGCTAACGAAACTTTAGTTTTAACTTTTTATTGTTGGTTGATATTTATTAAAAATTATTATTGGTTTCACGGGTCTTTCTTTAAATTAATTTAATAATAAAATCTATTAACATTTGTAATTTTTCAACTAATAATATGGAAAGTGTTAATAAGAGAGTAGGTGTCGTCATTATTTTTCCTTTTTAAATCTGCAGAACATCTTAACTATTACTTATTTTAATCTTAACATAAAATATACACATGAATTCTTTAGTAAGACTTTCATAAAGTATTGTATACACATGTTTTCCTTTTGTTTCACTCTCCCAAGTGGTATGGACAATTTTCCAAAAAAAATAAACAATATGTTTCATTCACCAAGGCGGTGCGACGATTTTTATTATGTTTCTGCAATGGTTGATTCATAAATGTTTGTCTTACATCCTGTAACTGTAACGAGTGGTGAGAGAAGAGTAGAACCAAGAGAGGTCGAGGTGGAAAGAAAATAAAATAGTGAGAAATATAATAAGAGAAAGAGAGAAAATAAAATAAAATAAAAGATTAAATATGTTTTTATTTCATTAATAACTTTATTTTCAGTCTTTCAAATTTAAAATAAATATTTTTGCTCTTATAATTTAAAATATTCTTGTTTTAGTTTTTAATTATATTTAAATTTTGTTAAAAAATTATCAAATATTGTATTAAACCTAATCGATATTAACCCCAAGCGTGTGGTTCAGCGGTAGGGGTTGATCCACGCTTAAGCAAGGTCAGGGGTTCGAATCCTATCGATATTATATAAATGTTTTAATATGTCACCTTCAAATATGTAATTGATAACTTGAAGACTTAAAACAAGATTTTTAAAAATTACATGAATTAAAAATATTAATTTTTTAATTTGAAAAATTAAAAATAAATTTATTTTAAATTTAAAAAATTAAAAACATATTTAAGTCTAAAATAAATATATGAAAAAGAAGAGTATGAAAAAAAATGTTAAGTGTACATTTAATTTATTTTATTTTAAAGAATTGATTATTTATTCTTTTTTAGATGTTTAAAAAGCGATATTTTAACAAACAAATTGCTTCATAAAAATAATCTATATCCCTAAAAACAAGTACGTGGTAAATTGTGGAGTGGAGAGACTTCATTTTTTTTTTGTAACTATAGCATTTTTACTATGTATTTATCATCAAAAAATATATCTGTTGAAGACAAAAACATATATAAAATAAATACTTTTTTTCAACATAATGTTATTTATACTTATAATTCAAGTTGCTACTACTTATGTCGGTCAATGTTAATAAAAATTGATTATTTATTAGTTTGATGGAAATGATTTTTATGAAAAATACTTATTATTTTAGATATTTTTTAAACCATTAACAAAACATAACGGTTATTTTCTCTTTACTAAACGTAGCATATCTTCCAAAATCCTTGTGTAGGAAACTGATTCCTCGAGGGAATTTTTTTAGTACGTACTTAAAAACGTAGTTATTTTATTTTTAGTCCTATTAGTGTTGAGAAGTAAGTATATATTCAATAGTTTTATCAACAATCAACTTTTATAAAAAAAAATTTACTATCTACAATCCGAAGAATTTTTTTTAAATCACTTATTTATTTATTTATTTACGAGACTTAAACTCAAATGAATGACTTATCAGCAGAAACATAATTATTTGCCAAATACCAGCCCTGAGGTATACGATACCACAGCGTGATATATAGTTAAACAAAGTAGTTATATTTCTACAATATGGTGAGCTCACATATTGATACGAGAAGACATAAAGAATGTAACAGTATCGTTTATATTGCTTTGTATATATGCACACAAGAAGTGAGATCGATAACATAATCTGGAATAACATGAATCTTATAGAGTTTAATGGCGATAAATGACCATCTAAAGATCACAATTCACAAATATACAAGTTTGTCCACATTAAAAGCCAAAACTTGTGAATGATTAACTGTGTAGAAGTTTTTACACTAATAGTAATAATGTATGAGCATTAATATGAAACTTAAAAGGTATATATATATATACAATGAAATTGCCATTAAAAATGAACTGACCTGTGATGATTGCAGTGAGGTTGCTGGCATGAATTCCTTGAGTAACCTGTTCAGCAGTGGAGGCTGAGCCAAACCCACTCGGACCATGCATCCCTGTTACCAACGAAATAACACCCACCATCGTAAATCTACGTGGAAACTTCAAACCTTTCCTTTCTCAGTTTTAGTTTTAGTTTTAGTTGAATCTTGTGACACAATAAGAATATAGTATTTATATATGTAGACACACTTGTGTAGGTGCAGGTATGTAGCTAATGGACTATGGACAATGAGTTAATATATATGGGGCCAAGCCAATTGGTGTATTTAATAAAGTACGAAATGAAGTATAAATTTTATCAGTGCAGGGCAGTTGCAAGGTTGTTAATGCTCTTTATTTAGATGTGTATTTAATCATAACCGGTGAAACATTGTTAACACCTTCAACCACTTACGTACGTCTCAGCTCTTCATTTATATACGCTCAGATAAATTTTTCGGAATTCTAATTCAGGGTCATGAGAAATTTGAAGTTTCGAAATAATGGAAGACAACATGGTAGTTTCGAAATAATGGAAGGACAATGCTAAGATATGGTATTCTAGTTATTTTCGGCACAACTACTTGCTAAACACACCAACACCACCTTGTTTCACCGTATTAATAAAATCTGATAAATGGCTTTTTTAAGCTTATGCTGTTTTGTGATATGTTTTTTCAAGATTTAGTTTCTTATGTTTGTTACCAAAAAAATTTAAATTTTCAATTTCAAATCTTTAAGATATTATTTAAAATTTAAAAGATATTAATTCTTTTAAAATATTATTTAGAATTAAAATATATTTTATTTATTTTAGAGATTTATTTTTCTTTTAAGATTAAGATATTAGGTTAATAAATAGATACTTTTAATATGAGAAATGTTATCTAATCTATAAAAGGAATCACCATTTTAAATGAGAGAGAATGTTATATGAAGAAGAGTTTCTAAGTTTTGTCAGAAAATTTGTGAAGAATGAATTTTCAAGTTTTATCCATAAAGTAATTTTTAAGTTTTATACATAAAACTTGTGAGAAAAGCTTTCAAATTTATGATTTAGGATATAGAATTGAGGATTTTAATGACATGTATGGATGAGCATTAATAGGATCATTTTATTTTACTTTTGTTGTTATTTTTTAGATATTTTTATATTACATTGTTTATTTTAATTACACTGTTTATATTATTTGAATTTATTATTTTAGCAATATACCTTAAGATATCGATAATGGAATAGTATAACAATACTAATATTTATTGGTATTTAATAGTACCCAATGTTATAATTACTACTTAGGGCTTTATTCATTTATGGAAGGAGTAGATTTACATAGAGGTTTGCTACAATAGCTTGGGAAGTTGTTACGGTAATAACGTTAATTAATATATTGATTAACATAATTAAAGTAGGATCTCTACTTAATTAAATATTGTTTTCATTTTATTTTAAAATTGATCCAGAATTTTTTATTATTATAGTGAGTGAAAAAATTTATAAAAAGACAATGAGAATTAAATTTAAATCCTCTTACTTCTAGTTACCTTAATCACATCCCTCCAACTACTAAGTCCAAGAATATATTAACATAAATGCCTCTTTAATACAATAGCATTTTTTTTTATATAAAGGTAACAAAAATTTTCTTCCAAATATTTAATACAATTATGTACTTTTTATTTGAATTATAGACTGTTAAAATATTTTATACCAATTAATTTATGTATTTGTCGGTATACATGATTAATAGTACATAATATGAAGAAAAAAATTAAAACTAAAAAAATGTAACTAAAATATTGATAATTAAAAAAAATTACATGAATTCAAATAGTTAAGGAATTAAATTTATAACTATATAAGTTTGTGTAACGTGCATCATCTATCTTAAGTCAATTGTCTTAATACGGTATTTATTGTTTCTAAGCGTTTCATCATTCATCGTTATTGTCTTCCTTAGCAAAACTACCAGGCTCAGACTTCTTTAATATTGGCGACACCTTTTTAAGGCACCAAAACACTTTTAACTAGAAAAATGATAAAATTTGTTCTTTAGAAAAAATGTGACCAATACAAAAATTGTTTTAGGACTGATAACAAAAATGCTTCATTACTTCTCGTAGAAAAAGTTGATTAGCACCCATCTTTTGTCTTATAATAAGTGTTATATTAAAAATAAAAAATAAGTGTTATGTTAATTTTTTAATATATTATTAATTATCTCTTTTTCATTCATATCCCTAATAATATTATGTAGAAATTGAGTTTTGTCTTATATTATGTTTAGTATAAAGAAGATTAATCATAAAATTAATTTTGTAAAATCATTATTTTCTTTCATATATTTATTGGTTTTTTCTTGATTGATATGAAATAACTTAAGATGACATTTATTATGGGACAAAAGGAGTAGTATCATAAATCAGATAAATCAGATAAAAAGTGACTATTTTGTGAAATATTTAGTAAGTATTTATGACACCAACAAACACTTATATACTTAAGAAGAAATATGAAGCAAATATGTAAGTGCATCTTGAAAGATTTGCAATAATTATTTTCAAAGACTACTTATAAATATGAAATTTGATCAAAAGAGAACAAGACAATAACTCAAATATTGTAGCAATTTTTTCTCTTATGATTTTCTCTATAAAACGTTGATTTGTACCCTTAAAGTAGTTTAACTTAAGCATTTTAGCTGAAAAAAAATCTACAGAGACTTTATTTGTAAAGAATATTTAGATATTTTAAAACTTGAAAAAACTTTGTATGAAAAAAAAATACATAAATAATTGCTTGAAGAAGCAAATCAAAAACTACTTAATTTTGAGTCAACAATAACTTGTGAAATAATACTCTTGTAACTTTTAGTTATTCTAAATTATGTAGAACAACAATAACATTGAATTTCTTTACATTTAAGTGAATAAAATTAAAGATGAATATTCAATAAAAAAATTCATACTTTAAGTTTTATAATAAATAATTTATATTGTGATATAAAATTATTTTTAATTGTAGATTTTTTTTTAAACTTTGAAATTATATTTATAAACAAAATAAATTTAAAAAATTAAGAAGTTAATTTTTTTAACTGAAGAAGAAAATAGTTAACTACATTATATATCAAGATAAGGCAATTATTTTAACTTGTATATGAAAAATTATATTTATTTTCTTTACATTTAAGTGAATAAAAAAAATTTACATCCGGTAAAGAAAAATTACTAACATCGTACTTCCATCCTTTTATGTTTTAATAAAAGAATAGTAGAAAAAAGTAAAATTGATTATGAATATAAAATCAAGAAACAAATGACAATTTCTCAAACAAATTGTAATAGTTAATTTGAAATCTTTAATATCGTTGAGAATGATGGTAAATTTAAATGGTGGTGTACGCATTCAGATGATATGGTCAGTGTCTTTTAAATTCAAGTTAGTTATATATTTATTTACTTATATAAAATATTACTTTTATATACTAAATTTTTTATATATGTATATGAAAAATTATTACTTTTTATTAACATTAAAAAAATGTTACATACAAAAAATATTACTATAATATATATATGTATAAATTTATTTATGACATATAATTATATATAATTTTAGTGTTGATTTTTTCTTTAAAAAAAAATTTAGTGTTGATTTTGAATGAGAATTAATATGTATTAGGTATCATTATACTTTTTACCTAAGGTGTTAATAAAAATAATTTTTGACAAATATTATATTATTATATGATGTGTGACCACATGATAATTTTCTTTTATAGTGTAAGTTATGTTTGTCTCTGTGTTTTTTTTTTTTGTCATATCTCCCTATTCTTTAGAATAAAATTAATAATTAAAAAATATAATAAATTTAGTTAAATAAAAGTGTTGAAAAAATTAAAATACAGGGTTTATGAAAGTCAACAAGCAGCTAAGACGAAGGGAAATTGAAGGGGAAAAAACATATTTTTGTATACAAGTGTGCAACTATGCAGCCACCACACCATGCACTAAACCAAAACCAAAACCATTTGTATCATTTACAGCTTCATACAATACTATGAACTGAACTGAAGGTAGTTGGTTTTGTTTTCGCTTCAGCCCACGTTATTTAATGGATTTTTTTTAATAATATTTTTCATACTTGAACCTAGATCCAATCATAAACACGGCTATTATATTTTTCAAAAAACAAAAAATATAGGTTTAAAGGGAACTTTACTACGTTAGCATGAAATATTTTTAAACCAAAAATTTAAAAAAAAATGTAAAAATTATTGTATTTTTATTAAAAAAATGTCTTTCAAAAAATATTGAATGCAAATTTATTTACGAAATTATGATAATGAATTTCGTAGCCATTCTTTAGTGAAGGAAATGTAGCCATTATTAGGATCCATCAGGAAAAGGTGTGGCAAGTTGGCGCCTGGCGGCGACCAGAACAATGGATCGGTGGCGCTTCACAATATTGCAACTTCTGAAATAATGATGCATTATGGTGCTCATTCAATACAAGGCTCAAGGCTGGACCATATTTTATGCCACCGAGTCAAATAATAAATAAGATTCTTTTATATTAAATATTGGGAAATATGCATAGATATATATTATATATAAAAAAATAGATAAGTGAGTTATAAAATGATTTAAGTGTAATATATTCATAGCATAAAATAGTTTTATATATTAGACTTTTTATAAACATATCATTGTATTAAATGTTATAAGTAATAAAATAGAAAAAAATTAATTATCAAATTTACAAGGATTTATATAATAATTAATTAATCTAATTTAATATTAACTGAAAAGATAAATTTATTTGAGGAACAATAAAGATATTTTTTTATATATTTAGAATAAAAAAATTAAAAAGATAATTGATAATTTAAAATAAAAAAGAGAGAGATTGATTTCATCCATCTTTTTCACATGTATAATTTTTTATTATTATTCAATTTTAGTAATTATTAAGTTAATTCAATAATCAATAAAAATATTTTAATCTTTTAAATTTTTTATAAGTGTGTTTGAATGAGGATTTTAATAGAATAATTTAATTTTTTTGAAAAATTTTAAATACTTTGGTATAAAATGTTTTATCTGAATGAAAAATTTACAAATAATTTAAAATTTAAATATTTGTGAAATTCTAGTAAAATTTTAAATTTTGTCAAACAAGTAAGAATTTAAAATTA